ATTATGTAATTATTTTATTCTAAATTTTTATTAATATTTTTATTAATATGATATATATTTTTATAAATATATTTATTTTTATTAATATGATTATCTTTTACAAAAAGAAGTAAAAATAAGGTTATGAAAAAACGCAAAATTGCAGTAAAGACAAAAGCAATTAGAGAAATTACTTATTATGTAATTATTTTATTCTAAATTTTTATTAATATTTTTATTAATATGATATATATTTTTATAAATATATTTATTTTTATTAATATGATTATCTTTTACAAAAAGAAGTAAAAATAAGGTTATAAAAAAACGCAAAATTGCAGTAAACCCAAAAGCAATTACGCTAGAGAAATTATTTATTATAATTATGTAATTATTTTATTCTAAATTTTTACTACGATAATATAGTGATTTAGAATCAAACGCAATGTGCCTCGAAATTTCACTTTTTGATTATGCTGATTGAAACTTAGAAATAAAATCAGATATTAGACTCCAAATAATACCATAAAAAATAATATCCAAAAAATATTATACCTGAGATTCGTGAGCAAAAATCTTTATCTGTATCATCAAAATAAAAGATCTATTCGTCCTCTGAAAAGGCAAATTGTTCAATTTGCGATAAATAGGCATTTCTTATTCATTTTCGCAAATACTTTTCGCAAGCACACCGCCATACTCTTCAACTCCGTCTCCTCGATTGTCGCATATAAATCCTCGTTTCGGAGGATTCCTCCTAGAGTTGCGTGAAATCGCGATTGTCAGCTGATTTCTATAACATTTCGCAATTTACCATCGCGATTTTGTACGCGCTCGTTCGCGAAATCATTTTCGATATTTTACTCTGGAGAACCTCGTATTCCCACCTGGAATATTTCTGCGTATTTACTTTCGATAAAGCGACTTGTGCACTCGCTCGTCCGTGTGTTTATCGCATTAATTCTCAATTTCGCTTAATCAACGCGCGCCGCCTACCTTACGCGTGAATTACGATGCGAAGCGGACGCGACCGAACGCAATTACGGCTGCATCATTTCGCCATTTCCGTCGACGGAAAACTCAAATAAATGTCAATCGTCGGGCGTGTAACGCGTCTGTCGCGCACAATAAACAGCTTCGCACGTTCGCGCACGCCATTAACGCGCCGCTAAACGGGAAGCACTCATTCGTTGCAATACTGCGACGCCTGTTCTTTCTCTCCTTGTCGAAATCAATCGATAATTATGTATTCTTTCGAACGAGCGATCATTTTGCCGGCGACAGCGTTCAAATTGACATGAAATGGACTGAAACATAGCTGCCTTCGTTCAATCACTCGACCTCGATGGTTCTCGCTAACAATTGCTGAAAATTTCAAGATGCGTGTCGCAATTCGCGCTATGATCGCGCGGAGAAAATATTGTAATAAAAATTACGTTCCTTTTTACAAACGTTTTTTTATAAAGCTGGACTGTACTGAAGTTGTGGTGTGAATCACTATAAAAACAGAAAATTTGACTTTGATCCATCGAATATATGATATAAAAAACATTCAAGTCATTGTAGTAATTGACAGTAAAGAGTCGAGTATACGTAACATTTTTAAATAAATACATGAGAATTTCGGTCATAATTCTGTATAGTCGAAGATTAGAAAAGTTTCGTTGTAATATTTTCTCCGTGTACGATAAAAAGAAAATCATTAAACGGAAAAGAAACTTTTGCTTGAAACTTTTACCATTCGAAGCACCTACCTGCCTCAGCAAGAACGGCATCGACCTTCTAAAAGTAGCACGCCCGTAATTGTTCCAGCTAATGGACGATGACGGCAACATCGAGACGGCCCTGATTAATTACCTCTTCACCAAGCAGATCGTGAAGCGACTACGCAATCAGCTGGACATCGGCGATCTGCAGCGTAAACGCAGCTACTGGAAGCAGTGCGCCTTCAATGCGGTGTCCTGCTTCGGTAAATAGGCGGCTGCGACCGAGGAAAAGGGAGAGAGAGAGAGAGAGAGAGAGAGAGAGAAAGGGAGAGAGTGAGAGTGAGATACGGGAAGAAAATTATACAAGAGAGATAAGAAAGAAACAGAAACTTTCTTCATCGCGCGATCCTGTCCGATTTTAGGAAGCTTTTTCCTTCGCGATTCCAAGTAGCTGCAAAAATTATTTCATCTGTGTAACTTCATCAGCTGTGTCCTCGAGTCCTCCGCGGCGATTTTCCTTCATGAGATAATCACTGTAAAGAATGAGCGAATAAGCGACTGAGTAATTGAGTGAGACGGCGCAGATGGGAATACAGAAAAAAAAAAAAAAGGAGAAAATGATACAACTAACGTTACGTGTTAGACGCGATTACATATCAGAGGACACGCACCACGTGCCAAGTCTGATTACATTCTCTCTTCCGAATCACCTTGTATTGCCCGCCTGTACCTTGGCTCGCTGTTTGTAACGTCGATATGTTTAATTAATGTAATCGCGTTCGTTGTCAATGTCTCGCCTATGTATGTCAGAGTGCCGCGTCTGTTAATTATTAAACGAACGTAATTGTCCCAATTATAAATATTTTTCTCCTCATCCTCCCGTGTTGATTGACTTCGGTCATTGAAAATACATGACGATCATGCGTCCTGCGAGCGCGCGAGCGAAAAGCCCATTTGCTGCGTTGAATTCATTTTAAATTAACGCTACTCCCACGCGTAAAACGCGTGAAATTCCCTCCGCGAATGTGTGATCAGATCGTCTCGCGGCGGCACTTACGGAATTGAATGCGCTTAATTCGTTTAATCGAACAGCACGGTGCTCGTTACGCCCCGCTCGTTCTTGGCTGCTCATAAAGCTCACAAGTCGGTCGACCGAGAATCACGTCTTTCTCTTCTCGGGAACAATTTCGATAATTTGCACATTTATCTTACGCGGGCGCTTCAACACCACCGGAACGGGAATCGCGATGCCAGCATTTAGTTCCATAACGGAAAAGATGCAGGCTCTTTCGTGCAAAATGGCAGTTCCGGACGAGGAAGTCGACGAGAGGCCGAAGTGCGTAATTATTTGCAGCTAGCGTAAATGTCAAACTCGTAGCAGCGAGACATGAGCCAGACTTTTCGCCTCGATCTGCTCGCAGAAAAATTGCGCTCGCTCCGTAATTACACGGTTACGGTAAGGTCTAATGGGACAGCGCCATCGCGCACGCACACGGAAACGTATACCTTGAACGAGTATCATCAGGGAAAGTCGTATCCGGCGGGACACTTTTATTTCAGTTGGAGAGAAATCATACAAAGTGAACGTCGTGTCGCGTCGCACCGCGTCGTGTCGCTTTGTGACGCGTCGTTGGGGTGCGTACAAATCATTCCTACTGGGTTATCGATGTGTGCAGGGACACTGGCAATAATCGCCCACCAGCTCCACCGCATACGAGCTCTCGTCCTGCTTGCCCGACCGCGCGACAGCCTCCTTCAGCCAAGATACGCTCACGTGCTTGACGGTCTTCGGGAAGTCCGTGAAATCCTGGTGAATAAAAGAACGAGATCTTACAAGCGTGTCAGAGCGGACATTAATGAAGTCGTTGAAGAAATTTGAGAAATGTTTCCTTTCATCATTGTTGCGAGAGCCACACGCAGAAAGGAACCACTCGCCTCCGTCGATGTAACATTTTCGTATGCTTCTCGAGAAATATGCAAGGTCGAGTGGGAAACTTATTCGTTCTTTCTCGTGTGGCTCTCTCGTGCTTTCATTTTTATATATTCTCCTAATATTTTGCTGGGACAAAACTATGCAAAGAACACCCACTCTTTCGCGAAAAGGCCATCTCGTGCTTTAACGAGAAGATCAAGCCATTGTTTGATCAACTTTAATTAATTCTACTTTTGTACCGAGTAAAATCATTAATACAATTCGCAAGATATATATTTAAAATTTTTCATGCAGTCGTTACGTAACTATCTCACAATGCTTAAATTATCGCGAGATATATTCTTCTCCAATGTTTAGCAAAGAAAGAGACGAGTTTAATTGCTAATTCTCGCTTAATTGAACTTAATTAAATTACTACAGGAACACACGTCGACGATGAACATTACAATCGGAGTTGCTTGCGCGTTGCAAGCTCGGTGAAAACAGTGTTAACGAGCCGGGGCTCGCAAAATCGTGACCTTTACGTGTATAAATACGAATCCCATACACCGTATATTTCCAT